AAAAAAAAACAGAGGACGGGAAAATTTTGGCCATTTCTGTCCGAATGCTGCTATAACTACTCAGAAGAGTCCGACTGCTTCCGAAGATCAGGAAATATGAATGGCTAACTTCTGTCTAGATGTGCTACCGAGCCTGGATCTTCAAAAATCTACCACGTACCTCCGGTATGTAGTCGTAATGCCGCCTAATGGGCTGGACTTCCTGTACAAAGAAGCAGTACGACAAATCAAGGGGTGTGAGCCCATCGGCAACTGGTCTAGTTTCCCTAAAAGATGCTAGGATTATGAGGCGACTCACCAAATAAAAGTTCAACTACGTGGCTGGGAATCTGACCGGACCTTTGAACACACATCGGGAAATATGATCACTGGCAAATCAGGCTCATGTGAACCATAGACAAAACTGAATCCCTTAAACTGGATGCGCTGCACAAACGCCTCACGCTTCAGTCGATAAGACATTGGGGAGATATCGCATCACCTAATGTTGGTGCAACTGGATTACATCGGCGGTTCACTACCGGTTTCACTCTTCCTGAGGTTCATCCATTAGACGCAGTCTCCAAGTTTCCATCAACCTTATATTCCACTTCAAAATCGAATTGTACGAAAGAATCAATTGGGTTTCTCGTTAACAACAATGCGATTCGCGCGAATTTACTGACCGGAAGGTCCGTGGTTCGGAGCCGACCTCTGCCTCTCGACTTTCCCTGTCTAGGCTTGAGCATGAGCTCCAAAAAAGGAAACCTTATGGACAACGTAGTCCTCAAAGGTGAGATGCAAATCGTTCGGTCAAAAAGACATCGCAGGACACTGCTATACTAGTTTTAGGCTGTTCACATTTAGCACTCTAAGAGCCCAGTATGGTCGAAAATTAAAGAAGCTGTAGGACCTTTCGCTTGCCACTCTCTTATGTACATCCTTGAGCCACACTTGCGGACAAGAAACGGGCAATTTCACCCTGAATATCCCACGAATCCCCATGAGAACGCAGAAATTCAACCGTCCTATGGAAGTCCGTTGCACGCCAATCACGACTAATCATGCTTCAACATGAAATATCCATCTCCTCACGACAAATAAAAATCGATAACCCTGACAGCGCGGGATCGGGGAAAACATCAAGGTGTTGGCCATTTAGGTAAGTACCCATCCGTGAACGTAACCACTCGTCAAAAAAACAAGTTCAAGTTATCAGCTACAAACCATGTACCATAGGCACATTGGTTCCAGCTGCTACAGCTTCTATCACCTGGGAGTGAGATATCAGTGGACAACTGAACAATATCTCACTGGTGCTTAGATCAAGAGGTACATGGTTATAGTAATTCTGTCCAACATCACATTCAATTCGTGAGAAAATAACTCTCAGGACGAAAAAGAGGAGGAAATTGACTTTGAGACCAGTGTCGCAGATATTCCTTGAATAAAATGGACTGAGCACCATTCGCTTCTGTAAGCATCGTATTTGCAACAATAAACGGAAAAATATACCGCATGGACGGACAGGCAGTTTCCTGGAAAATGGCTCATAGGTTAGTCGGATGTTACGGACTGAAAAGCTTCCGCGGAATATGGACCTGTCCACCTAAACTCTTTCCAACGGGGGTCCTTATTAGGGGGCGTCCTTTGGAAACAAAAATGAAATCCCTGTCTGAGGGAGGAGTTAGCAGCCAGTCTGGGGAATAAGCGCTCGACGTATCTCGATTCATACACTGCACGGTTATGCATATAGTGCCTAAATTCACCGACTATTTTCTGTTCAATCTCGATTCATACACTGCACGGTTATGCAGTGCCTAAATTCATCGACTATTTTCTGTTCGAGCGTCCAAAAGAAGCACAGGCTCCCTAAATAAAAAAATCTTGTTCCAGACCTGAAGGATTCACTAGGCAGCATATGGCAGCGAAAGCCACTATTAGCAAACCTAGTTCAGCTGTATCGCCCTTTCGGTGCCTAGCTGCCATGCCACCCGAAGGAAGCACGAGGGCTGGGATACTGTCAAGTTGCCCAAGCCTAGACAGGGGAAGTCGAGTGGCGGAGGTCGGGTCCGAACCACGGACCTTCCGGTCAGTAAATTCGCGCTCTAACCACTTGAGTCATCTCGCCTATTAGCCATCTCGCTATTAGCAAACCTAACAGCTCTTATGATTACCGTCTCCTTGGATGAGGACCCCGAGACGGGGCAAATCAATTGTTGGGGACATTGTTGAATAAGGCCCAGTCGGACCCTCAGTGCCGTTACGTTCAATGCATAGCTTCTTTCCCGATCTCTACAATGAAAAGTCCACTGACACAATGATATCAGTTACCGACTCCAACGGGCAGCATTCTGCCCCGCTTTCTCAAATCACTGACAGCTACAACCACTGTACGGAAAGTACGCGTTTTTTCTACAGCAAAACAATACTTGGTGTTTTGGCTATACAAATCGTGTCAAAAGACCGGAAAGCGTCTATTCTATACAGTACACTTACTGATTCAATTTCAGGTGCGGTGAAACGCAAACGGGTAGAAGCGATATTAGTCCCAAAACAACTGATATTTGCTTGAAACATTTTCTCATGATGATGATGATGTAAAACCGTCAAATTATTTCATCGACTAATGCGACAGAATACCCCGCTGAATTCGCTCAGCGTTCGAGGTCATTTGGAGGTGTTACCAAACGAAACAAGTGGCAGCGCATCGTATTACTTCATTGGACGTTTGATTTACTATAACAATAAATTGTTGTGCGTACTCGAAGACCTAGAAGTCGCCTTGTCAGTACCACTAGTCAAGACATGAATTAGTTGGGGACATTCAAGTGGAAAATTGGGATAGTCCAGTCGTCACCCATGCATCATGCAGTGTTCAATCGCTGTCGATGCACTCACATGCCAGCAAAAAAAGCTATACTTTACAGAATAAAGCACAGATGTCAACTTGATTTACAATGAAATGTTTGCATCCGAACAAACCAACGACCATCTATCCGATCTGATTTACTATGATAGTCTCTCCTCAAACTCAGGAACCTGCCGCGCTTCTCGGTTAGTCTATCTGCCACTAACTAATCTAGGCCTGGGGGGGAAGAATAACTTCACAGCAGTTCCACTGTCGAGATCCACCGGTTAAACTGCTTTGGAAGTCGTTCAGCTGTAACACCCCTTTCGCATCTGGCTATCCAAAGAAGAAACGAGTACTTGGATACTGCCAATTTGACCAAACCTAGACAAGAGCAATTGAGACGGTGAGGTCAGTTCCGAACCTTTCCGGCTAGTGAGGTTGTGCCCTAAGCACTGAGTTATCCCCATCTTCACGGACTCAATGAAGCTCTCTTTCTCTAGTGAATCCATGGACTCGGTGATCCTCCTCCCGCAAACGGGGTTCATTGCCAATTTGACCAAACCTAGACAAGAGCAACTGAGACGGTGAGGTCAGTTCCGAACCACAGAACTTCCGGCTAGTGAGGTTGCGCCTTAAGCACTGAGTTATCCTCATCTTTACGGACTCAATCAAGCTATCTTTCTCTGGTGGGCTTCATGGACTCGGTGATCCTACTCCCGCAAGTTGGATTCATCTCAACAATGTCAACCACTGCCTACGAGCCAATAGGCAATTATCGATCGGGACCGATCAAAATTACTCGGACGACCTGACCCCAGACTGGACTTAGGAAAAATCAAATTGAGTTACAAAATGAAATGGAATCGAAGATGTTATCCAAAGGTTACTACAAACAGCTGATCCAAAACGGACCAGTCGAAGATAGGGAATCGTATTTTGTCCGTTAGTGCAATAACTGGACGGACTGGAAGCGTTTCGAAAGGCAAGTGACATTAGAGAAAGCGTATTGACCACTACGAAGAGTATATACGATGGAATAGGACAAGAAGGAAGGCAGCGAAGTCCAGCAACATTGCTGGTTGAGCAAATTTGTTGATCATATCGTGGAAGCCTTGGAATGCATATCTGTTCGTCTAAAACTCATCGATAAACCAACGGAGATTCGAAAAAAAAACTTTGGATTTGCGGAATGTCATTTACGGTCAGTGAAAGACGTGAAGGTGGCAAACAAAACACAGCCAAATTATGAAGTAACCGGAATTATGGGGTTGGTAGAGGAGTTTGCCTTATCCACGACGTGCACCCTGCTGGTTGGAATGCTGTCCGAAACGTCTACTAGTTGATCTTACCGGAGAAGCATCGGATCTTGAAACTTGGGGACGAGTCCCTGAAGTAGGTTGAGAAGGTGGCCGAATACTAGATCGAGAAGGCAGCTGATTGACCGTGGCAGGTTTGCCGGCCACATGTTGTGTATCAGATCGCTTATTCGCACCAGACGAAGTAATCCGCACAACCGAATTTTGTGGTTGAATTTGGGACATAGGTTGCCTAGACTGGGGCCCGTTCCGACCTGAGAGAGCGGCGGTTATGGAAGGACGAGGATGTGAACTAATAGTTGGAGGGTTCAATGAAGGTGTTGGAAGTCGGCGGACTGGTGCTGGTAATCTGGAAGGTGGTCGGAGTCCACTAGGCGGCCGCGATGGAACCAATGATTCCTTGGAAGATGCTTTTGAACTGAGTTGGAGAGATGAAGATGAGTTTGACAATGCCTTAGCCGGTTCAGATGCGTTTGTACTAATTAAGCCTTCAACAGAGGTGAGTGAATCGGTCAGTTGCAAGTCACCATCTGCCGAAGATCGCTGATCCAACAGAAATGTTTCTTGTGACACGCGGGCTTCTAGTTGTTCGAAGGAAGTCTGGGAATCTAGTCGCGGTACAGGACTATTGGTTTTTTCGCGTTGCACGATTTCATCAACATTGTCGGGGAAGAATATGCCAGGTTCTTTCGTTTTGTGGGTCACTGTTGAAGGCTCTGGAATAGCCCCACGTGACAAAGTGTCTGGATTAGCAGCAGCGACATTCGGTGTTGGTACCTCAGGAATCTGACGCAATTCCACATTGATTCGCGTACCGGTCTGAAGCTGAAGTGCTTCCGGACGACGGCATGTTTCCCCAACGTCTAGAGCTGAATTGTTGTGATTACGGAGTGCTGGTCCAAGTGGTCGGTCAGTGAGATCAAGAGACCGAGACGGATCTACGACGGTGGTTCCTGACTGAGGATTTATGTGTCGAAGAAGTCCTGTGTCACAGCTACTACGAACTGGATCGAATTCGGACAAACTAAAGCTACTTTGGGAACGATTTGTCGATGCATCTGGTCGGAGCAAATTATCATCGCCAAGTAGCGATCCAGTAAGCGAAGAGTTTGAACCATTTAACTTGCCTCGACTTCCGCTGTGTTGTCGTAGCTTGAATTCTTGCATACGTGCCAGTTCTATCACATCGGTACTGCGCATACTAGAGTAGGATGCGTTGGGGTTGATTTGAGAACCACGAAGGTTTCCGAACTGTGCATCCGTGAGAGATTGGGACAGCACACCCAATCCGCAATTCTCCATGCTTCGTGAAACATCGACATCACTATCGGCGTCAGACAACGGGCCAGAACCGTTACGAGAAATGAAATGTTTCAGCAACGAACTATTTACTGAGCCCACACTACGACGAGCCGGCATAAAATCCTGCTCCTTTAAGAGATCTAAGGCTTCCTTCGAGTATGTTCGGTTCAATAGCCCCGAGGGTTGTTGCCCAGTAGCCGCACCGTCGGGACTGCTTGTTGCATCTGGTGGTGCGAGGAAGTGACGAGTACGGTTGGAATTACGCGACGGAGGACGTTTGGTATAACCAAGTGCAGTTGGGGCGAGCTGATTGTAGTGTGGGGACGGTGGAAGATTTGATTTTTTCGGTTTTGGCGAAATGGTTGGGTTGATAGTCGATGGGACACCATTGAATGTGTTCCTGGGATGCAATGGCCGCGTGGTATCCGAATCCACCGATATACCAAGGGAACCTTCGTTCATCATCCCGACAAACGCCTGTGGGAGCGGAGGTCTTTTCCCCTGAGATGGTCTAGAACGTCGTTCATATGTTCCGTAATTTTTGCGCAACCCAAGTGGACCTTCCACACTGTGATGAACATCGAAAGGCTGGTCGATGGGAGGATATCCACCAGACTGCCAGGAGTTGAGACCATCCAATTCACCAAGAACAGCAAGCGACAAAGTCGAGTGGAAAAGGCTGTTATCCGCACGATCAGCCGAAGCTACATCGCCTTGATGTTGTTTCAAAGCAACTTCCTCGACCAGACCTTTCAATCGAGCCAGTTCCGTAAGCCGACTGAGCAAGTGGTAGTTGTGCTCACGAAAATCCGGATTATTGTCAAAAGAGGCGCGCAGCCAGGCATGAGTCTGTGCCTCCACATCGACAATGGCCCCCTGATCCACGTTCCCTGAGGGATCCAGCTCAACAGGAGGCTGAGTAGGATCCAGCCACCAGGAACCACCACCCGCTAGCCCAAGTTTTTCTTCTAGTCGAGTAAGATCGGCATCGGATAGAAAATCGGTGGCCAGTAGTAACTCCTCAAACGGGTCGGAATCCGGCAGCTCTGGCATGCTGCAGCAAGAATCCACTATCGAAATACCTGAAAAAAATAGAATACATAAGTAAATCACCCAGCAGACTATTACACGGTTATCGATCCCCATTAATTCTTAGAATATGCGGGTGTGGCGGACGCCCATATTACGCATAAGTGAAAACGGGTGACATCCAGGGAGATACTCAAGTAGAAAACAGGGGAAGAGGAACAAACAGAGAAACACAAGTGGTCTATGTAAAGATTGAACGACCCCTTCAAAAGGAGAAGGAAAGCCGATATTGACTAAAGTGAATAGATAACACACAGTTTGGTGGATGCATGGATTGATTCAAGGTAACCAGGATCATGTTAAGGGAGGACGCCGAAACTAGCAATCAGTTGAATGGATGATTCCTGATCGGATGTCAATGATGCGTCTGATTACTTCCCATACCCAGCTGTTGCGTTCAACGCTGAAGTGCTTTGTGAAACAATGCATAACATGGCACTTTAAAGCGTGTATAGGACAAATAAGCAATCACAAGTGATGCGGCGAAAACGATCTCCATCATGGTGCACCACCCATTGGTGCCTCTGCATCATCATCTCGTTGTTTCTGTCAGAAAAGTGAACTGGTACGTAGTGTGGATTTTCAAAACTCAATCAGCCGAAGCAAAGAAGGCATGTTTCGTTCCAGATAACCAAGAAGACAAACATAACAAAGCAGTGAGCTCAACCAATCAACGGCAGACGAATATCACGTCCCCGTCACGTGTTCTGGATTGGTGAGTGGTGGTGATGCAGAAAGAATTTCCCCAATACATCCACTAGCAGTTACGTAAAGAAAGGGATGCTGACCACTTCCAGTTCGTCACCACATGACGTGAGAACAGGATCTAGCCACTACAAATCATGTATTTCTAGAAGACCAACATTCCTAATGCACTTCGAATTTAGCTGACACAGGATGAGATACAGCTTGGGTTTCATGGGTACTGCTAACACTTGAGACGATGTCATCAAGGTACTATAGTCTGTGGAACTATTTTAACTTCCCAATGGATCGGAGTCTGCCTATGGTTATGGACTACGGTTACGGGGACGAATCGAAATCTACCGGCAGCAAGTACAACCTTCCCATTCGTACTATCGTTTTCAATATTGTTTCCATCATCACCATTGTTGAAAAATTAAACGTGAGCTTTTTTATCCCCCTACCACAAAACCCATCAAACCTACAGGAATCCCTGGCAGATTCATCATTGCTTTCAAAGGACTCCTTCGTGATCACCAAAAATCGCTCCCAACCTTTGTATTTCACCCTCACTTTTCTTGTCCAAACATGACGTTTTACGCCGTACTTAGTTGTTTTTACCAGAGTCTGTGTTCTACAAAGACCAGTCCTTGTCTATTTCGAACGCTGTCTTTTGCTCATGTCATTCGAACTGTACAATTGTAAAGGCATTGCTACAAATCAGATGACAACTTGACCTGGGAACCAGAAACCCGGATGTTTAGCATCTAAATCTTATTTCTAAAACCCACTAAGGCCTAGCTTTGGGTTCATCTCCCTGAGTATCATCTCTTGAAGGAGTTGCTCAACTTTCCATCTAGTGGTTGACTATGTTCAATCCTCCATTTGCACACGTCCGACCACTGAGCAGTCGGGACAGACTACTCCTGTGGGATACAACTACACCATTCAAGCTCCATTCATGAAACCTCGAATATAACTTACACCATGAGCGTCACAATATCCTCACCTTTTGCGAATTTAATAAACAGAAAAGCATTGGACGGGTATTTTGACAACCCAGCGGTCAGAACCGGGAGTAGGTTAACTCGCGATAGACAAATGAGAAAATATCAGCCAGCTGTTGACATCACTTGCTAACAAAACGCGATACGATAGATTAGCAGGATAGTACTTTGAGTAAGCAGATGAACGCAGGTCTCATGGTCTTTACGAATCTCAATTAGATCAAGTAAAACGAAGTGCTTCATGATGGTCCATTGTCTCAGGGGTATGGTCTTATAGCGTTGGACAATAAGGCAGGCCGACAGATACTGTACCAGGCAGTAACTGGAGCGCATGAGGATGAATGAACGGTGAAAAGGTTCCCTTAAGGTTTCTTTCCTCCAATGTGTTGTTTGATGTTCCAACCCACTATCATTCATTCTCATCTTTACATTCTTTTTTGTCACTTTCGATCTTGTCGTTCTGCAAGTTCAAGAGAGTGTACCCGAAAATAGGGGAGGAAATAGGTGAGTGGATAAATGATGAAGATGAAGCCAGTACGCCGGCGGGTGTTACGTCCGGAAGCATAGGAATTTCTGATGGAGTAAGGTTTTTTCACGAATAGCCATTCCATGAGAGGCAATGTTAGGAAAACGGATCTGGTCGGTGTTAAAACGCGTTGGCATGCTCCATCTGGACTAATTCGGCTGGTAAGGAATGTCATTGTAACCGGTAACTTTTCGCAACATTCGAGTTGAGTGAATGGTTCGAAGAGAGTTGGAAGATTCCCTCTTAAATGTGTCCGTGCGAATCGTGAGCATATAGTTGAAGAGGGACAAAGGAGTCGAGGACTTTGTGGTTGACAGCCGCCTCTTACTTCATGGTATTCTAGTTCCAAGGCGAGCAAACCTAACCGTGTGATCGATCCTGATCGAGTTACTGCCTTTTTTAAACAAAGGGTGGCTGGCTTTGTTATTACTTCCCTAATGAAGGCTAATGAAGCTGGTGTAGATGGCTTAGAAGCTGTTGGCTCCCGTGACGTCCAGATTTCTTCCGAAAAGTCGGAATCCGCCACATACATTGGCGATCACTGGCGTCGTAGGTTGGGTCAAGATCGAGGGTGACGTACATCGCCGGGCTTTTTTTATCCTCTTAGATAGCCGTGGACCGAACCACCTTAAAGTGTTACGGGTACCGTATTCATGGTAAATATGCAAGGATATACATATAAACATATACATATTAGACCGTTAGCACAGGTGGAGTTGGGTAATTTGATACAGCGTTGATACAAATGTTAAGGAGTCTAGGCTGCAATATGGACCTTTGGTCAATACTGACGAAATTCTGTTCAACCACGTAGCTGTAGAACCAATGTGCAATGGATGGACAGTTGACGTCTAGGAAGGAAGTTTTGTACGTAGAATATTGTGGCTGACCTTGCCTAATTTATGGTATTGACAGAGATAGTGAATTTCGGCATTGTACATCAATCAGTTGCTACACATAAGAAGCCAACTATGCATGGTGTTTCCTTATAGAATCCATGCTGTTTGTTGCTAAGTTGGAGCCTACTGAGAACAGACTCAGGTGGTCGGTACTATGCTTCCATTGACCTCTGGGGCCACGAGAAACATTGTAATTGGCAAATAATCTTCGAGGGGCTATGACTTCCACCTTTTAAACGGAGCGTGGTGATCATGATCATGATGATGGTGATGATGTACTGATAACGTCAGGTTACCCAAGCCTAGACAGGAGCATTCGAGATGCCGTGGTTGGAGCCGAGCCAAGCACGGTCCGGTCAAGCCTTAACCACAAAGCCATTTTGAGCTCAATCCAGATGAATGTTTTCATGAAGTAGGTCCGTGTTTCAAATCCAACATCAGCATCTTGACTCATTATTATCATTATCGACAGAATAGTATCAGCGTTCAACACAGATGCTTAGCTGCCGTACGTGAGAGAAGAGCAGTTTATTGTCCTGCTTGCTTCAGAGTGCGAACATTGAAGGCAACCAGACAGATTGAGCATCAAGCTTTAAAGATTGATTTCAAGTTGCTTGAGGATATCATCGCCGAATGACGCGGATTTGCTTGCAAAATCAATACACAATGAATGCAGTCATCACTAGTAACAGAGGGGTCTCTGTCCTTCCGGATCTGGATGGGAATATCATCTTCAGTTAGACCACGGGAACTGGTGTAGTTACACAAGTAGCCTCCGATAGATTCAGGTTTGATTTTATCCAAACACACTCTACTACACTCCACATTTTGCAAGCATGGGGCACATAAAACAGTGAGACAGGAATATTAAGATTATTTAATATTGTCCGTCAGGGATGCCCACTTCCCCCATTCCTTTTCAACTTCGTAATCGATGAGATAATGAGACGAACGCTGGAAGGTCTCCAAAACCCTGATGTTCAAAAAGCCTGTGGAGAAAACCTTGTCGATTTAGAGTATGCGGACACCGTTCTCATCTTTAAAGAGGAGAAAGCACAAGGGTTCTTGGATGAACTGACCAAATTCATCCCGTTCTTTGGTATGCACTCAAAAAAAAGCGTAAGGTCATGCTCGTGGACGTGCAGTCGCTTAACGTGCCTCCTAAAATCCAAGGAGAGGTACGGAAGTTGTGGAGCGTTTTGCGTATCTTGGAAGTTTTATTAGTTCTGATTGTAGTGTGACAGATGAGGTCAATGCGTGGATGTGCAAGGCCCGGGTCGCGTTTGCCAATTTGAGACACCTATGGTGTCAGAGTGGTTTATCCCTGAATCTCAAGGGACGTGTACATCGAGCTACAGTACGGGCTGTTTTGTTGTATGGCTGTGCGACTTGGCCTCTTCGAGTAATGGAAGTGAGACGTCTTCTGGTGCTCGACAATCGTTGTCTCAGAACCATAGCTCAAGTGGGTTGGTGTCGGCGAATCCGTAATAAGGCAAGTAGAAGGCGCGTTTTCGGTTGTGCAATGGGTACTTCCACTGAATGATGTGTCTAGCACCAGAAGCTGCGTTGGTTGGGACATTTGTTGTGTATGCCGATGTAGTAACGGTATTTTCCTCAGCTTAGTTCTCGGTCTGAGCCTCCCAAGCTAGCGTTCAAAACAACCACCAAAGGTGCACAAGGTCAATTAACGCCCAAAACGAAGTCAAGAACAGTTGACAGCGCTTCGTATATATAGCGTAAGCGGTTATAACTTTCTGGAATTTCTGACGCGTTCTGGATGCGCCGTTGGCAACCGGCATTTGGCCAATACTGGGTCATGATTGGCTGTTGGG